ATTGTGGTAATTTTAAGCCAACATAGTAGTCTTAAGTTATTTCTGCATTTCTAATTTGTGAAGGCAGTAGATAAAATAATCTGTTTTGCAGCTGTTAAATTAAGAACATTGACCATAATTCAATTTAAAGTTTAGCCAATGATGTACAGTTTTATGGTTAAAATTGCTGTGGTTGGTTACATTACATGACACACAAAACTGTCCTCTACCTCACATAAAATAAATATTTTATATGGTTTTACTAAAAAATAAGACTCATCTATCTGGTCACTTAGTTTACAAATTTTGAATTCTATTTATTGAAACATGACATACTGTGCTCTTAGCTTATACCTCAATTGTATTTTGTGCTGTTTTCCATTTTCATGCCATGTAAATAACTTGTATAGATCGTGGATCAAATTCCAAATAAAAACTTTTAATGCCAATGCAATTTGGTTGACGTCACCTCAGTACCCTGTGTGGCAGCTTTCTTATCCCTTAAGATTGGCGGTTTCCCCTTGTGTTCCTTTGAAGCCTATTACGCGTTAACCGATTAACTTGAAAAATCTCTTTTATTATAAAATGTGAGATTTTATGCGATGTTTCTGGTGATGAAAATACCAGCATTTTGTTGTTATTCTCCTTTGTACTTGGACTTCGGAGTTAGCGTTTTCCCAGCCTCCCTGGTGTAAGTTACCCATTACTACAGAGCAGATCACCCCAGGATTTAGCAGCTTAGAGCAAAACTGTTACTGCAGAGTATCGGGAGTCAGTATCCAGGAGCAGGTTGGCCCGCTAATCGGGCTCTGACAGAGTTACACTTAGGATGTTGCAGTGCCCAGTCGGCTGAGGGCTGTACTGAGTGGGAGGCGGCTTCTCGCAGGGGGACCAGTGTGCAGCCACGACTCTCTCCAGGATGTCCCAGCCGGAACAGTTTCCGCGGTGACCAGACGTTCCTCAGGATGTGCTGCTGTCTTTTCTGGGCTGGACTTGAGCTGGTCACTGTGGCTCCTGCATCCTGTGCATGCTGACGGCCTGTTCCTTCTGTCCTTGTGCCCTGTTGCCATCCGGGGTGTGCCAGTCTCACCAGTGACCCTCGGTGTGTGACAGTCCCCTTGTCATTTTTCTTCACTGCTGTGGCATCTTCTGTAATGGGCTTTTAGGTCTCCGAGGGCTATTTTGGTTTGTGAATGGTATTTGCTTTTTCTGTGGGGTGGTGAAATGGTACCTCCCACTCTTTCTTCTACGTTAGTGACCATTCTCCAAGCCTCTGTCTTGTGGTTG